ACAATCTGCAATTGCTCAGCTCTCAAAAGATGAAAATTATTTTGCCAGAGAGAGAATCAGGAGAATGAAATCAGAACATGCTAAGAATCAGAAAGCCAAACAAACAAATGCAAAACCCAAACACACAGCATTTAAGGAAATAAACAATATGATTGCCTTGGGACTTACCAGAGCTGGTAAAACTAGTGGCTTAGAAAGTAGCTTTTGAATTAACTTCCCTCCCTCCCTCCCTTTCTTCCTTTCTCCATCCCCCTGTAGGGTAAATGGTTTTCGGGGTTTTTCTGCCCTCCTACCATTAGGATTGCCCTGCCTGGTGGGGCACCTGCAGTTGTGTTGTTTTCTTCTGTAGGCCATGACTGCAGTATTGAGATATTCACCAAGAGAAGCAGAGGCAGGAGAGAGAAGGAGAGGAAAGAAGGCCAGAGAAGCCCAGAGGGAAGTCTTGCTGGGGGCGAGGAGGCCTGCTGGCCTCCTGGCCCCGGCACCCCTGCCTGCCATGTACCTGGTTGCTGTGCTACCTGTAAAAGCTCAATAAAAGAGCTCAATAAAAGCCCGAGAAAGCCACCCAGGGCTCCCGGACTCCTCCTTTACCCCTGTCTGCTTGAATCATAAAGAACCTGCTCAGTGCTTGGACCAGTTTGCACTCCCACCAACAGTGCAGGAGAGTTCCTTAAATAAGGGACCAGGACAAAGAATAACTATAAGAAAGAAAATATCAAAATCAACAAACAACTATGAACCAGAGACATTCTATGGGGAGGTGGTGGGGGGCGGGGAAGGGAGGGATTGGGTCAAAATAAGGGGTTGTAATTGTATGGGGAATATAAAAATAAAATTTATTTATTTATTTATTTATTATTATTATTATTTTAAGATTTATTTTATTTTATTTTATTTTATTTATTTATACAAGCACTGGGTACAGTCAGAAGCGTGGGAGGGTGAGAGAATTCACCAGAGCCAGAGTGGGGAGCAGAGCAGGCAGAAGGACCAAGTACACTGCTGAGGGGAGCAGCGGGCGGCAGGAGAGGTCTGCGCGCCATGTGGGACCCTCCTCTGGTGGCCGGGGAGCAGCCGGGGATCGAACTGGCACTGCAGAGGCTATGGGCAGCTTCGCAACCCTGCGCTCAACCGCTGCGCCACCGGGGAGGCCCCTAAAAATAAAATTTAAATAAATAAAAAAAAAAAAGAACATGCTCAGTGGCCCATCCTGCCCCAACACACCTCTTTTTCTTTCATTCTGAAATTTCTTTCTTTCAAGACCATGATTGTTTTAATTATGCATGCCTGGTGTCAGGATCAGACAACAGAGATAAAATACAAAGAAAGGAAAACACATCTCAGTTCCCAACACCCCACAGACAATCCCTGTTAAAAAGCTGATCTACATCTTTTAATGCACCTACTCCTAGAAACATTTATAAACTTTGGTAAATTGAATCATATCATCCAAGCTATTTTGCAACCTGCTTTTTCACTTATATCAAATACGTTTTGATAAAACAAATACAATCTCAAGCTCCTCAGGAAATGTATTATTCCATGGAATCTTCATACAAATCCTCTAAGTTGCTGAATGAAGCATTCTTTTATATAGTGAATTTTTGCCTCCTCCTCAGAAATCCACCAGGTTATAATTATTATTTTTTTTAGAGTGAGTGTATGTGTGTCGTGTTTTATTTACCAGGTTTGCTTTAAAAAGACTTCGTCTGTATGTAAGAACAAACCTTTGCCATTAGTCAGCATTCTGGGGCTAAGCAAGTGTTCACAGCACCGCTGGGCTGAAAAACCAGAGTATCCGGAGCTTTTGGTATAGATTCTGGATTTCTTCCTCCTGTCTGGGACCGAAGACCCTGACCTCTGATCTCAGTTGAATTTCACTAAGGAGTGAAGTGAGAATGAGTCACTGGCTAAAGGTTTCATAAGCAAATGGCAGACATGAGCAGAGCCGGAGGAAGCAAGGTGGGGAAAGGCCTTGCTAAGATGGGTGCAGCCAAGGGAGCACCCACATCCCACCCCTTTGCCAAATGCCTCCAGCAGATCCCAGCACCCCTGTGCATCTGCAGGATGTAGTTACACTTCTTGCTATGACACCCTTTGGATCTTGTGTCCTTGTTTTCAGATGAGGCTTGGTGTGGAGCTGCCGTGATCACACGTGAGTACAGTGGGTGTTCAATAGGCATCAGTGTAAGTATATTCAAGCTGTGGGTCTCCTTCCCTGTTCAGGGCACCCTTCTCTGAGCCACAAGGCTTTCATTCTGTAGATTATGATGAGATGGTCATTTCAGAACAAGAGACAGAGAGGGAGCAAAGATGAGAGTCCATGAGACAACACACAGTCCTTACCCCCAACAAATCTAAAGTCCAGTAAAAGCCAGATCTTAAGCCAGGGCCGCCAGCCCCCTACCTACAGAGGAAACATCAGCATCACCACAAACCCGAGCCTCAGAGCAGACACAGCTGACATGGTGATTGAGGGGGCAACAGATGAGCCTGGCCCACAGCATGTAACTGAACAAGCCACCCAGTGAGGGCTGGGAAGGTTTCAAACTTGTGTATCTTATTTCTCCAGGAGAAACTGGGGATCAAGATAAAGTCTAATTAGGGCCTCCTGGTGGTGCAGTAGGTTGAGCACAGCACTAGTGAAGCTGTCCGCAGCCTCTGCAGCGCAGGTTTGATTCCTGGCTGGCCAGGGAGAAACCCCCATGGTGTGGCAGACCTCTCCTGTCGCGTCTGCTGCTCTCCTCAGCAGTGCTTTTGGTCTGTCTGCCTGTTCCATTCCTCACTCTGTCTCTGGTGAATCCTCTCACCCTCCCGTGCTTCTGGCCTGTACCCCAGCTATTGTATAAATAAAAAAATAAATCTTTAAAAAAAAGAGAAAGTCTAACATTCTCATTTCGCCTGGTTTGGAATACAGACACCATGTAGCCCTGCATGTTTACAGAAGACAATGCAGTAGACCTTCAAATCAAGGGGGCGGGGGCTACAGGAGGGCCATAATGTACTTCTCACCTTTAGAAGAGGCCAGTAGTCTTGGATCCATGTGAACAAATGCTTGTTATATTCTGTTAATTCTGTCTGAGTCCACGAAGGGCAGAGCGGGGAACGCCTGCTGGCATCTCAAGTTTTATTAAAGTTATTTCCCCAGAAGTCTCCTCTAACCACATATAAAGCACTTAGTCCTGTTCTTGGGTGGTGGTAAGTGATCATTAAAAAAAAAAACAAAAACAAAAAACAAAACTAAGAGGTGCGGCAGCAGCAAGGATAACGATGAGCCAAGAACACTAATTTATTTTGCTGGAAACCGGGCTCAGCGCAGAACTGTGTTCTCTCAATTGAAGGAGTCTTTTCCCAGGAGCCCGCCCTCCCTATTCCTTCAGAGCCTGAGACTTCACCCTTCTGTTTCCAGGCTTCCCAGTTCTTCAGCTGAACTTGGACTGGCGCTCTTCAATGTCTCGTGTGCCCCGGGTAACAGAGCTATCCCCGCTGAAGTTTCTATTCTCCAAAATACTTTTAAAGAACTGGTGGTCCCACATTATTTAAACGGAGAATGGGCTTATTTGCCACCTCAAAGTTTGAATAAGAAGTATTTTTCTGAAATGCAAAGGAAAGCAAGCTTATAACCCAAAGACCTTCACAGATGAGGGCTCCAGGCTCTTCACTGCCTCTGTTTGTTAGTCCATTCTCAAGGATAATGAATTCTTTTACACCCTGTATTTGCTATTATGTGCATTTTAGACATAGATTCAATAACCTTTACGTACAAGTAACCTTGAGTTCTTTTGCAAGTGAAAATTGGACTTAAGTTCTGATTTATAGTTAAAGGGCAGAAAATAGGGGGAGGGGAAGAGACAAAATAACTAGAGGGCAAACTGAGAAAGGACTTTGTTAGCCTCTTTAAACACTACTCCAAGATAGTGTCTGGCTAGTATTTTCTCCTACTGCTCAGTAACTTCCTGATCCCTTCTCAAATTTTCCACAGTGGAACTCAATTTATAACTCTTCATAACTGATGTACAACAGACCAAATCACCTAAGGACTCCTGTTGGATGCAAATTATGATTTCAGGGGTTGGGCCTGAGATTCCCATTTCTAGCAAGTTCCCAGATGATGTGGTTGCTGTTGAGTGGCAAGGATATAACCCCAGGCAGCTGGAATCAGACCTGGAGACCTTGCTTCTGACAGAGAGTAATTTACAGAAAGGGCAGCTCTTTCTTCAGGCTAGCGAGCAGCAGACCTCCAGCCTGCTTGGAGAGTTAGGCAAACCTTAGCACCGTAACAGCGGTAATGCTTCCTGCTTCCTGCGGACCTGCTACCGACCCGGTGCCTACATCTTACTCATTTTGTCCTCTCAGCAACCAGATGGAGTGCTATTATTCTAGGTTTAGGGGTAAAGAAACGGAGGCTCAGAAAACTAAATAGCTAGCCCAAGGTCACTAGCTTTTCTGGGGAGTTGAATCCAGGTTCATTTGACTCCAAGAGACAATACTTTCAAATAACCCCTTGGGGCCTCAGTTTCCCTCGCTGTGAACTGGAAAGGACTGGTTGACAGAGAGCGACCCCTACCCATAAAAGAAGTCACTTACTCCTCCAGATCTGTTCTTTGACCCTGCAGGGAAAAAGTTCTTTTTAAGAACACCCAGGCCCCCTGCCTGCCTAGTTCAAGGGACACGCAAGCAAGGCTGTTCTCAAGGAGGGTCAGGCGGTCCTGGCGCGAGCTGGCTCGGACTCAGCGGGCCAATCCGTTACATAACCGCGAGGCGTCCCTGGTCTCTCGCGCCCCCCACCCCTCGCCAAGCCGCACAGGGTACAGCAGATCCAGTGACACCTTCCCTTTGCCCGCGGGGCAGAGAGTCCACAGCTGAGCTGACCGGGCTGAACTTGACAGTGCATTTCGGGGGCCTAGTCCTGGGCTTTCCCTCGCGACGCTCCCTTCCTCCGGTTTTGCGCGCGGGGGCCTGGCTAGCGCCTCCGCCGCGTCCGCTCCCCGCCCCTTGCAAGCGTGGATCGCTGCGCCTGCAGCCCGGGAAGGGGCCACCACTCCAGGACCCGGCACCTTGGGTGCGTCCCAGGGGTATGTCCACGCGCCGCCGCCGGGGTTGGAGCGGTCCCCATGAGGTGAGGACGCGGCGGGGCCGGGCATGGTAGGGATCAGGCGGAAAGAGCTGGGCGCCCCGGACCAGTCCTCAGCGGGCGGCTCCCGCTCCAGGATCGCCCCGCGAGGGCCGGGGAGTTCCCTTGGCTCACCCGCTTTCCACACCCGGCTCCGCAGTGCAGAGGGCTCGGTGGCTTGGACGACCCAGGAGCTCTCGGAAGCAGGGCTGCGGGGCGCTGGGTAGACTGGGTGGAAGTGGCGCAGGGCGCGCCGTGGGCGCTCCGCTTCCCCAGCGCCCGGCTGCGCGCCGTGGGCTCCAGCCGGGTGGCGCTGGACACCTGTGGGCTGGAGAGGGACACGTGCCGCTTGCCTTGTCGTCTTTAGACCAGCGCTCTGGCAGTTTCTGGGCAGATGGCTGGAGAAGCGGCCTTTTGCTCCATCTCCCACGGTTTCCAAATGCAATAGACACCGCTTTTCTTTTGGATTCTGTTTTCAGTGTGTATTTTTTTTTTCTTCCGTTTAAGTCTCCTCTCTGCTTCCGATAATAATATTTATTTCTCGTGTGTGGTCTTCTAAAGATATACCAACCTTCAAAACCTTTTGTTGATTGAACTCTTTCTCCTTCCTTGCTTCTTGTTCTAAAAGAAGAGCAGTGGTAAGGTCTGGGGTGGGAAGCCATGGGGGTGAGTGTTTGCAGCAAAATTGTTGAGCACAATTTCAGAAAGATTCTTGGGGCTAATAGGTTGGCATTCCGTTTCCAGAACTCAGCATTCTAAACCTCTTTTACTTTTTTTTTTCTTCAAATGTTGAGTCAGATGAGAGTTTCCTGGTCGCTGGTTAAACTTTTCCGTTTTGAAGGGACTTTAATTAGTTCTTCCAACTCGTTTCTTGCTGAGAGCTGCACGCACGTTACAGTGGCACAGCCAGGAGGAAAGTTCTAAGGTTGCCACATTCAGAAACACAGTCTCCACAGGTATCCCAGATGACTGACTTTCAAAACCCTCAATTGCTTCTGCTTTATGTGTCTCCTCTCTTCCCCCCTTGAAGTGTCTTGCCAAACTAGGCAAAAGGTGTCTGCCTCTCTGGAGGAATCCAGCAGACTATGGAAGAAATCAAGACCTTATGTAAAGATGTTAGTTTGAGTGACTTTAGAAGGCTCTTTAGAATCATAGGATCTAGGAAATTTTAAAATTGGAAAGGGTTTTAAAGATCATCTATTCAAACCCTTCCTTCCTTTTTGTTCATTTGATTTTTTTTTTTAAATTTTTGAGTTGCTAGATTTCTTCTATAGTCTGAATTATATTTCCTTATTAAGCCTTTTTGATAAATGATGCAATGATAACTGAATATTCATATACAAAAGAGAAAGGTTACATACCTACCTCACACCATATACAAAAATTAACTCAAAATGAACCAAAGGGCTAAATGTAATAACTATAACTGAAATCCTTCCTTTTAAAATGGTTGTGTGGAGACTTAGACCAGTTGGCAAGGATTGGCTGAGCTCAAGCCCAGAGTCCAGGCTTCTCCTTCCCATTTCCTCCAGGTTCAAGGCTGTTGCCTCCAGGTATTTTGAACAAAAATGAGGTGGCTGGAATCACCTAATCATGTCATTTTCCTGCTCTTATTTTTAATTTATCTATCTTGAAAAAAAAAACTGGTGAAATTCAGAAATAGAAGAGAGAGCTTGGTTTTTGGTTTTAAAACCAGCTTTGTGGCACAATTTAAAAAACAGAAACCTTTAAATACTATTTTCCATTGTTCTTATATGAAGATGAACATGCAGATATATCCCAGGTGAACCTCAGATGAAGAAATGTAATTTAAACAGATGGAGCTACCTCTACCTCTCCTTAGAGGATTTTCTGACTGGTGGTTGCCTATAGTGATGATTGGTTAGTTAGAGGCATGGTTTATGACTTTGGAGCCACCTTGAAAAAAGTGATTTTTATGATGATCATTTATTTGTTGTGAGTCATGCCATGCCCTGTGACAGAACTGAGGGAGGGATTTTAATCAGACTTATTTAGTGTTTTAGCATTGTCCATATCACCATGTTTTTCACTTTAATTAAATTAAACATATATTTATTGAGTGCTTACTAGGTGTCTGTAACTTTCTGGACATTTGGAGTATGTCAAAAACCAAACAAAACACTTTGGAGCTTAAATTACAATTCATGCATTAGAATTTTCCCAGGAGTTTGCTTGACAGATAGAAAAGAACATCAGTTTTGCAGAAAGCAGGGAAGTGAACATGTATGTTTGCAGCTATGTGCCTTCCAATCTCATGATTCTGCTGATTTTATAATCACAAAAAACAGCAGACAAGCAAATTCAGATGAAGTTATTTTGTCTTTCATGAATTGAACTTCTGCTGCATGTGAACGGTAGTTCCCACCTTTGGGTATTTTATGTATGTTTACTTGGAGTCCCTGAGATTGCATTTCCTTTAATTTTTTTTTTTAAAGATTTATTTTTTTTTTTTAATGCATCCAAGAACTGGATTACGGGCCAGAGGTGCGGGAGGTGAGAGGATTCACCGGAGATAGAGTGGGGAGCAGAACAGACGGAATGACTGAAATACACTGCTGAGGGGAGCAGTGGGCGAGGCAGGAGAGGTCTGCTGAGCCATGTGGGTTGCTCCCTGGCTGGTGGGGGATAGAAAACATGCTGAAGAGGCTGCTAGCTTCACAGTGCTGTGCTTAGCCCCTTGCACCACCAGGGAGGCGCAGATTGCATTTCCTTTAGTAAAGACACTTCATGAAGCAAGGGAAGGTTTGTTTCCTTAATAGTCCCAGCGCCCCCATGTTAGTATTGTGGACAGTGACTGTGTTTGTTTATGAGATGGGGCATCTTATTTATTTATGAAGATGATGTTGTGCTTTTACTTTGTCTCACTTTACATTTGTCACCCATTGTTCTCCCTAGTCATAGGTGACACAGTGTTGTAACTTGTTGGTAAATTCATTACCATGGAAGTTTTTCTATTTAATTAGACATTCTAGCGTGAAGCATTTTCTAATTCTCTGAAATGCTTTTTTCTTCAAAACAGCATGGATTGCAAGCTCAGGCATGTTTATTGTTTTTAACAAAAGCTTATCAAAATGAACTTGGCAGTTTTTCAGTCATATACAGCCAAAAACAGTATTCAGTGCAGCTTTTGGGTTGTTTATGCATTCCTTACTTAACCAATTGCTTTGTTTTTAAAAATTGCCAATTTGCAAGTAATTTCTTTATGAGTAGCTTTCTAGTATATCTAAAAACTCACCCATTAAAGTGATATAATAATTTAATTGAGAAAAAACAAATCCACCCTTGAAGACAGGGAGGTTTGAATACAAAGATTTTCTGGCTCTGTTTCTAATTTGTTCTACATCAAAGGACAACAAGAAGTGTCATTGTCTAACTGTGTCCTATTTGAAAGTGGTCTGTTAAATACAGGAGCGTCACCAGTTTTGATGGCTGCTAGGTACCCAGAATAGCTGATTTTCTTCACTTGCCACCATTTCTCCCATCAGATACTCACTTTCTTTCTTGATGAATGGGGTGAGTTGCTTGAGCCAGGTAGGAAGTTGTATGCCATTCATTACTTAATTAATGGTTCATTCATTGTTTACTTAATACATTTATTTTTTGACTTCTACTCCTTATTAGAGATTTGTGTAAAGACTGTGTTTTGGCCTCTCTTTTCCTGTGCGGGTGGCTGTGCCTCAGAGGCCACTTAGAGTCTGGTATGGAAGAAAAGATACTACACGGCCACCTATGGTGCCAGGTAGAACCACCACCACAGGAGATAGATAAGGACTTCAGAGACTAAATGGAAGGAGAGGGGGCATGCTGAGACTGTGACCTGTCAAGGCCTAGGAAGACCGTCTGGAGAGCTGCTCCTTGAAAGACGGGTAGGATGGTAAAGCTATTAATATATATATTTTTAGAGATTTATTTATTTATACAAGAACTGGGGTACAGGCCAGAGATGCAGGAGGGTGAGAGGATTCACCAGAGACAGAGCGGTGAGCAGAATAGGCAGACAGACTGAAAACACTACGAGACAGGAGAGGTCTGCCATGCCATGTAGGTTTCTCACTGGCTGGCTGGAAATTGAACCTGTGCTGCAGAAGCTTCGGACAGCTTCACAGCGCTGGGCTCAACCTGCTGTGCCACCGGGGAGACCCCGGGATGGTAAAGCTTTTATAGAAGAGAAATTTTATTTCTCTTTTGGGGACGCATGCTTCTTTTTGAAGACATAAAAGACTTCCTTTTGGGAACCAACTGAGGCTGGGTTGACTTGTATAACAGACACTTACCACCTGCATACTCCGCAAGCATCCACCTCCATTCTGGGTAGGGAATACTGATTAGCACAGAAATGACTCACTGAGGTCATAGTGCTGTTCTTTCCCTCCGAAACCCATGCTGGATGTTGCTTAGAGCACAGAGACCACTATGGAAAATGGCCAGCGCTCTTTACTTTCACTTGCCCAGTGCATGCTTACAGGGGTGTTTGGTCATAGTACTGCTTATCCCAGTAGTTTTTGCTATTTTCATTTTGCAATTTAATTAAACATTGCATAGACCGATGTATATGAACATTAAACAAAGATTGTTATTTCTGTGACAATTAAGCTGATTGCCATCTAGGCCTAGGAAAACCAGGCCTACACTGGTTTTCACTACAACGTGAACCATGAAACTAGGATGCTAAGTGAAAGAAGCCAGACATTAAAAGCAATGTGTTGTAAGCTTCCATTTATTTGAAATGTCCATAGTAGACAAATCCATAGAGACAAGAAGTAGATTAGTGGTTGCCTGGGTATGAGAGTAGTGGGATTTGATTGACAGTAGATACAGGATTTCTCTTTTGGTCCATGGCGATATTTTGAAATAGTGAGTTTTGTAGCAATGAAAAAAGGCATTAAAAAAGCAACATCTGACCTCCTTAGTGGCACAAGGGGTTAAGTACCACACTATGAAGCAACCTGTAGCCTCTGCAGCATGAGTTCGATTCCTGTCTGGCC